ATAGATTTATTTTATATATATATATATATATATATATATATTTTTTTTTTTAAATACTTTTTTAAGAAATTCACCCAAACATTCTTTAAACTAATAATCACTCTTAAAATTTTAGCTAATATTGCTAAGTTAGCCTGCATCTCTTTCCCCTTCCTCGCTGTCCTGCATTTTATAGCTGTATCTAGGGGTGGGTATATGGACTTGAGTCCGCGGACCGGTCCGGAAGTCCGCGAACTTCACGGATAACGGGCCCATGTTTTTTAATCCGTATAATCATACGGATTTTTTAGGTCCGGCCCGTTAAGTCCGCGGATTTTGCGGATTTAATCCGCGAGCCCGCGGATTACCCGTTTAAATGTGGACTTACAAATATTTTATGTTTGTTTTTAAGATATTAATTAAGACTTTGATGTTTTAAGGTATTTAGACTTTGATGTACTTGGACTTACAAATGTTTTATATTTGTTTGGTTGTGTATTAAGACTTTTAAAGTTTTAAGGTAGTAAGGCTTTAATATTTGGTTAATAGTTGGTATGCTTGGACTTTAAATTTTAAAGGCATTGAGACTTAAATATTTCTATTAGAAATTTAGAATGTGTAAACTTTGTTATTTAAGACTTTGATTTATTATTTACAATGTTTGATGTTATTATTAGAAGTATATTTATATCATTTTATATGTTTTTTTTTCCTCATGTTTTCATAGGTTAAATAAAGGAAAAGAAATTCAAAATCTGAGTCAATATTCATTTAAACAATTTAGATTTAATTGGGCCCGCAGACTTATCCGTTTATCCGCGGGCTTCACGGGCCGGATACGGACTTGAAGATTTAAGTCCATTTATTTAGCGGACCGGATTTATCCGGCCCGTTAAAAATGCAGACTTCGCGGACCGGGCCTTAAACGGGCCGGACCGGTCCGCATACCCACCCCTAGCTGTATCAACTCACAAAAACGAAGAAATTTTATTTGCATAAAAAATAATATAGTATTTTATTTATTGAGCTTTTCTCAAAGTGAATAATATAAATTAGGAGTTGTGTACACAATTTTTTTGTGGAAGATTCACATAGCTTTATAAGCTAGTTATAGTTGTCGTAATGATCAACTAAAATTCCAACTCATGGTCAAAGAACACAAGAGTATTGGAAACAAAACAATAGAAAATTATTAAGAGTGTATTTTGGAAAAATATTAAGTTAATTTAATCAAATAATTTTGTTTATTACACGAGACTATTTTAGTAACTTATGAGAGCAAGTTATTATATAATTAGGTTTATTTTATTTTATTAATTTATTTGTGTACCTATATGAGGGGTACATTAGTAATTTTCTTGTAATCTGAAGGCCGAACGAGAGTTCTAAATGAATATTCTAGTGGGGGAGGTACCTACAAAAGGTACTTGAACGCTCAAGTCAGGACAAACACGAATATCAATAGTAATTAATGAACATTGATGTTACCTCAAGATGTGAACTATTTATACTAACATTAATGGTCTTGTACTAGCGTTACCAAATTAGGTAATACGCCATTAATTATCCTTATGGCCACGATTAACCTTTGATCACTAATTAGAGATGATTAACATTCGTATAAGGGGTTTTGACAGCTGAGGGTGCCGAACGGGTTTTGGCTGCTGAGGGTGCTGAACGGGTCTCGGCTGTCAAGGGTGCCGAACGGATCTCGACTGCTGAGGGTACCGAATGAATCTCGGCTACT